GAAAAAATTACCCATATCGTCAAAATTGACTCAGTTTTGATGGACTTCATACCGTAATATAGTCTGAATTAAAAAAAAAATAATTTACTATCCGTTACATTGTATAGTTTCCTTTATCACCGTAAATAGTAGTTTAGGAATGTGAAAGTTTTCTCTAGGCTAGTGAAAAACTATTTGTGGTCGTCATAAAAAGTATTAAAAATATATTTCACATGTTGGCTGATAATCACAAAAAGCAAAACTAGATACTTTAATGTCATTGAATCCGATAGTTCGCATCTAATAGGATCCGACGGAGTAACTTCGACCTGGGAACAGAGAGTATTTGTTGATACTAATTATAGAGTTTTTTCTTTCATTTATATCGATCTCAAAAGCAAAATGACTGATATATATTATGGTATAAAATCTTCATTCATTGGAAACTTTTATGGATACAATGATAAAAAAATCGTTTTTCAAAGTGGTTTAATCTCGATGTAATCTCACGATGAATCGTCCTAACAAATCACGATTGTGTTCATATGAATAGTTCTCTTAATAGGTTGTTTATTCATATCTTACAAGGAAAGTTCTCCAAATAATAAATTCCTTTGCAATCGAGACTACTCATATTGTGACAATCGTGGCAATTTTGTTGGTTTTGAAAAAAGTTGCAGTAGAATCATAATTACGGTGCAAGAAATAATTTTTCAAGGACTGATGATAAATCGAATTTAATCACTGATTTCAATAATTGATTAGGAATCGTCAATTAATTAGAGAGATATTCGAAGTCGACAAAAACTGAAAATCAAATATTATTTCTATAAATTTTTTTAAATACAATCATAGAGATATGAAATCAAAAGAAAAATTTAGCTTCGACATGGTTGTCATTAATATGACATAAATAAGACTGGACAATTTTAGAAAACAATCGCACTAAATTTCGCATTCATTTACATCAAAAGATGTTTTTGATAATTTAAATATTCTCATCTGAGTAATTTTTTAATCAGAAGCTTTCTATTTTTAGATTGTTTTCACATTTTACCATGTGTAATTGCATGCCATATGGTTTTTTTTATTTTTCTTACATGTTTTATTCATATAGAATAATGTATATAGCCAATTTTTGAATAAAAAATTTCGAGGATATGGACATGTGCATTATGTAGACTCAAATGAGCTATGAATATCTCGAAAAGAGTTCGTGTTCTTAGCTTATTGCTACGGAGATACTGCAGTTTTACAGTACTTTGTAGATGAATACCGTGGTAACAAAGAAGCTGATTTTCAATTTGAAACTTTGTTTATATAGAGGTTTTAACAAGAATATATTTTTGTGAATGTTTTTTAGATATTGTCGCTATTCCTATCCTGAAATACAACTATGGTAATAGCGTGTCTTTTACATTGCTCATACAAACCGACAAAGTTAATGTCTTGTTTCACGATACGAGCAAATCAAAAAATACCTCAACTTTTACAATAAACTACTCTTTTTAAGAGTACTTCTCCTCTTTTTGACCGTTTCTGGTCTTCGAAAACAGTACAACTGATCAAGCTGAAACTTTTACCACAAATAGAGGATCAAATGTAAGAAGACACATGCTCGAGAAAAAAATATTGAAGTAGAATTTTACGATGTTTTTTATTCAATCGAACTGAAATTTTTACCATTGAAACTTAGAAGTACGCTTCAGAGACGAAAGCTGTCGTTTTCGTTTTTAACTTTCCTATTCAAAGTTACAAGATCCTGAAAGTCAAGATTCCGACTTTAGCACCGAACATTTAGGTGTTACTCTCCTAAAAAAGAAAGTGAAAGTTTTGGAAATGCTTCAAATTACCTCTGAGATATAGTCTTAGGTATCTTCGAAAAAATGTTTAGCCCGATCGGATAAAATTTGAGTTCCTCGAACACGTGCCTCCTTATTTTTGGTATTCTATCTGTTGTGAAAATTTCAGTTTGATCAATTATACTGTCCTCGAGAACCACATATGATCAAAAATAGGGGAGTACCCTTAATGCCTGTCTCTATTCAAAGTTTCAAGTCGAAATTCGAAAATCAGTTTGTTGGTTATCATAACATTCATTTAAAAAATACTGTAAAAGTGCAGGATCTCTGCAGCAATTGTCTCAGGATACGAACTCTTTTCAGGATATTCATAGCTTATTTAGGTCGATATAATCTCGATTCAAAACCGATTTATCAATCGTAGGACTTTCCTCATTAGTAAGCTTTTATATGTTCGAAATCAAGTTTTAATTTTCGGGCCCAAATCTGATGAACTCCGCTAATTGATTTCAATGCATTCAAACGATGATTCGTCACCTGAATTCTACTTAACAATCAAGTCTACTCGATTGTCTGTATTCAGAATAATTACAAATGATAGGATAAAACTTGGAATCTTGTGTCTTTATATTTGAAGATCAGAGTGATATTTGTTTTTTTTTAAATAAATTTAAGCATTATTTTGTTTTGAAATATATAAACATCCTTCGTAGTTACTATATTGATTCTACAAGATCATTCATTTCTACGCATCTTTCCAAGTAAAAAATAATATTTCCTAAAAGATCTACATTGGTTCTCATTGCACTTAGATTAATTACATTTTCTTTATTAAATCTGTGGTATTATAACAATGTTATGATTTCAATTATTTCTATTCACAAGTTCGTTTTCAAATCTATTACATTGTTTATTATAGACAGTAAAACAAATCTAGGAATGATAGAAAATAGATGTTGCAAATATTATTCTTGAATTTTTAATATAAATTTTATTCATGGATGCCCGGAGGTCGATTCAAAGATTTTTTTGCTAAAATTGACCTGATTTGGGAGTTGGGATTAAGTTTTTTTTCTTTTTGGAATGCTGTAGAAAAACAAAACTTTTTGAAGATCACCTCCTCCTCACTCTGGGCATTCCTGACTTCAATTGAAAATTACCAAGGCATTGAAACGATATTAATTTGAAATAATTATCCTAATCCATATTATGTCTCATTTTTCATTCTATTAGTTTTCTTTAAAAATATCAGATATTTAAAATAATTGTTTCTTTCTTGTTGATTTTATCGTTTCATATACATGAAGATATATAGAACAAAAGTAAAAGCTATTTTAAGAATTAATTAATATTTTCAATTTATCATATCATCTATCATAATCTAATGAGGTCATCTCTTTTTGTTTTATATTTATCCTTGACATCTCTAGTTCTTATGATTCAATATGTTAATATATACGGTGTCCAATAAGTCATGAAACAGACACACTAAAAATTGAATATCTCCATTATGTTTCGACCAAATGGGCTCATTTTTTTTTAACCAAAGATAGAGGCATGTTCACACTCCAGATCCGTATGGATGAGATTAGCGGGAAGCTATGGCAAGCATTTTGTTTTCTTTTCCTATCTGTGAACAAGTAAAATTTGCTTGTTGAGGTCAATAGTGGTATTTAACAAAACTTCTCACTGATCTTGTCCGTATGAATTTGGAGTGTGAAAATACTTCTATTCTTGGTAAAAAAAAAAAGAGCTCGTTTGGTCGAGCTATAATGGAGATATTCAATTTTTAGTAAGTCTGTTTCATGACTTACTGGGCATCCTATATTAATGGAAGTTTGATATATTTCATCTATATATAGAGAGTATAAAAATATGTCCTATGAGAATTTTCAATTTCTTTTCAAAAGAGAAAAAAAAACTGATGTGTTTGTTCTTTACTTTTCTTTTTCTTTTCTATTTTATTATTTGTGTAACTACTGGGTTTTCTCTTTATTATTTGAAGTCTAACATACAAATAATGATGAAATATTGACAATAATCACAAATATAGAAAGATATTTGTTATGTGTGTGCGTCATAGAAATAGCAATAGAAACATCAAAAAAAAAAAGAAATAATAATAATAATAATAATGATAGAAAAGAACGAGAGAACCGCCTGTTGCTATCGTCATGTTAAAAAACATCAATAAATAATAAAAATTATATTTTCATTTTTTTTTTCTCGACGCAATATAAATAAAAAAAGAAATTATAATAATAATTATGAAAATCTTCTTACATGATGCTTTTTTTTATATTTAATTACATCAAAATTCTGTCAAATTATAAATGACTTCACCTTCAACTTTTGTATTCATTGAAACACACTTCATCGTTCGATTAATAATACGTGCTTATTATTTCATGCATAGTATTGTTTTTATTAATTAGACAAATTAATATTTCTCAGGCTTATCAACTAGTTCAAGTACAACAGAAATTCGTTGAAATTACCAACAAATCGATAGGCAGACAGAAAATGAACTTGCTTTCAGTTATATTATGCATTTTCCTTTTTTTTTTTCTTCTCGTCTACGAGTGCATATGTTTGTGTGCACCAGCCGTAGAATCAAGTAACGAGAACAATTTACTTGTCAAAAAAACAAGGTAGCTCTCTCGACCGATGTCGTTTATTCCTGCAAACGTTCCTTTTTCTTGAAAAATGACTTGTTCACGTCGTTTTTTTTTTTTTTTTTGAAATAAACTTAGATGTGCTATATGTTATATGCAAGTGTAGTAGACAAAGGAAAAGCGCAACGAAGAGATAGAAAAATAGATCGATTAATGCAGGCGATAAGGAAAAAAAGGAAAAAAAAGAGAGGAAAACACTACACCTCTCTTCGTGTAGAACAACTAAGAAACGAGCGCAAATGAGAATGCGCACAATACCTTTCAGTTCTCTCTTCATTCACACAGCTACAGAGCATACATGTGGAGGCTACATAAAACAACCCTTTTCTTCTATTCTCTTCTCTCCCTTTTTTTTTTTTTCGTTGCCGTTTTATGCCTGATGATGAAGAATTTTATGTGCGTGACCGTCGTTGAAGCGGGCGTGTATCATTTTTTTTTTTCTTCTTTTCTTGTACATACATAGAGAAATTGTATATTATGTGTTCAATCATAAGGTAACAATTCGACATATGTCTTTATTTAGATAAAAATATTTATCATAAAAATGACATCGTCTTCTTCAACTTATCTTTTACCAGAACCATCAACATCATTAATAGGTTCAAAATCAATTCTTATTAGACAAACTTCACCAACAATACTTCATTCTGTTCAACATCCACTTCATCGAACTTCTCTATCATCACATACTCATCAACCAATTATGAAATCAATGCCTACTAATGATACATTCCATTCATTAACAACAATTACGAATATCAATAATGGAAATTCATTATTAACAACAAATAATAACAACACATCATCAGTAGTAACAATGCATAATAATGATGATATCAATAGTAGTTTAAATGGGCATAGTCGTTCACAAAGTATGGAATCAATAAATAATATTGGCTTACAAGATGATGAGGTAAGATGAAAATATACATGATCCCTAGAGACACCTGGAATACTTACATCCCCTTAATTATTCTGTTATAATTATTTATCTTTCTGTCTGTATGTCTTTCTTTCTCTTGTTATATGTATAGACATATGTTAAGATTCTAATCGTTGATTATGTTTAACAAAATTGTTGTCTATCGTGTTACTTTTATCAATGACATTGTTCGCGAGTATTAAGAAATTTAAAACCGATTGATGTTATTGTGTATAATAGCGAGTAAAATATTAAGATTCTTTCGTTTTATTCATTCCGAAGAAAAAAAAAAAAGAAGTTAATGATTCATAAAAAAAAAAAAGAAATCGATGTAAGGGAAAACACAAAATACTATTTAGTTGACATGCAAATACGTATGTAAACTCGGCAAATGAACTAATTTATGTAGAATGATGAAAAGCTTTAGACGAAGAACAGATTTTCTTTCTCTTCTAATAATAATCACTTGCGATTATTTTACATTTCATTTGTTTCTTGTTTATCGACTTCGCAATTTCTAACGATGCAAATGTTGCCTATGTTAGCATATGGACCTATGAACAAGTAAGATCAAAAATAAATCTAGAACATTAGTTTTGATTGTAGAAAATACTTTTTGTAAATATATTTGTATATCTATCCATCTATATATAATTTTGTCTTTTATAATCAAAGAAAATTGGTAAAGATGCGGATGTGTGAGATGAGAAAACTTACGCATGACTGATGATCCTTACTGATCTTCGATGGATTTTTTTGCTTATTACATTATTGAATTTATTGCGAGCATATGTAGTTAATGGGCGACAAGACGGAAGATGCAACCGACCGTATGCTAATTGCTAAAAATGCACAGCTGCTCTTTTTAACAACTAGACAAATGAATAAGAAATACCAGGAAGATATAATAATTGACAAAAATAATCCTCTTATATTAGAATACAAATCAATTTTTGAATTTATTTCTTACAAGATTTATACATAGTATTACACAAGGGAACTATTTTTAAAGAAGAAGAACGACCATGATATATCGGAAAAAATAATACTTTAAGGGATTTTTTTTTCTCTTATCGGAAGTTCGTCATTTTCTAGGTTCTAATTATCATCATGCTAGTCTTTTTTCTTGTTAATAGTCAATGAAATGAAAGAAAGTCATAATTTCTATGAAAAAAAAAAAATTTAGACTAGATTTAAAGTTGCTCTATTACTACTGGTATGCACTTATCGAATCATTAACAAAGAAACAGAACAAAAAAAAAAATCTTGAACAATACTCATCATTTTGTTACTCCTATAAGCTAAATGGACATGAATTTATTGATGCTTGGAGGTAAAATTTTTATTTTAAAAAGAAAAAGTTCAAAAGACATTATTGAAATAGAAAAAGAATAACAATAGAGAACCATATGGAATTACGATCTGTAATACATGAGAACAATACTCATCGTTCTCTGTATAGAACAAAACAATGGAATATCAAGAAAAATATCGACTACGATAATTCCATTCATAGAATCTTTCTTCTTTTTCTTTTTTTTTTCTCGCTTTTTTTTATATATATATGTGTCTCATTTCTACACGGTAATACCGTATATAAACATAGTCGAAGAAAGAACAACTAGCAAATACATATATACAATCAGTTTTCATATTATTATAATGGAAACAAATATACTCAATGAAGAAATAAATAATAATAGAAATGAAACAGATTCTAGGTAAGAAAGTAATCATTTTTTTTTTCAGCATCGAATATGACCTTTTCTAGTATCGATTTACTTCTTGATAAATCCATATCATGTTATCGATCAATCTTCACATTCATTCTTCTTTAAATAACATACATAAATAAAACTATCATGTATAATGACTACCTCATTAATAATAAGATAACATTATCTGTAATTTAGTTTAATAATTGGTCATTTCTATGAATCATCTATTTAGAAGACAGTTTTATTGATATAGGAGAATAAATTACATGATATTACTAGGTCTATTGAGTTATATAGACCAGAGTGACTTATATTGCCGAAATTTTGAATATTAAATATTCTAAATAATTTATTATTTATTTCCATCATTATTCAATGATTTCTTTTTTTTTCTTGCCTATGTAATTGAAAATTGTTTCCGATTAAAGACTACCGTTCAGTTGCAGTTACTTTAGGGTACATTAAGCTTTTCTAGATTTGACAAGTGATCGAGCTGTTCCGTCGTTCCGATCGATTTCTTTTTCTCTGCTTCTTTTTTTTTACCAATCGACTTCCGGTTTCTTTTTTCATTTTTTTTTTTTTTTGCTGCATTTAAAATGTTTTTTTCTTTTCAATACGATTTTTTTTGTGACGGAAGAAGTATTAGAGTGTCGAAGAAAAAAAAAAAAAAAAAAGAAGAAAAACTTTCTATCGTTTTTCTTTCTTCTCTTATTCATTGAAGATGAAACAAAAGTGAGCAACTGCACTTTATTTTGTTCCTCTCGCGTTACACCTATTTTAATTGATATGATGATTCGATTACGGTTCTAGTAGCAAACAAACGAACAATACTATTACAAATATTTAATATCATCCTCGTTTTTTTTTTTCAATAATTATTAATCATTTATTTATATTGATTGTTAGGGTGAAGAGGTATATAGAAAAAAAGAATAGCAAAAGTTTTTTTTTTTTCATAGACCACTATCAATTCTTTCTATTATATATTGTCTGTTGTTATAGTCATTGTTACACAATGAAAAGTTCTACTGATGAACTAAATGAAGTAAGTAAAGCAAGTAGAATTTAAATAAAACAATATATACGAATCACATTTTCACACATGATTAGCACGTAACCCTCAAAAGCACTTTTTTTTAGTGAATGAAGCTTTTGCACTAGCATTACCACATACACAATAAATACTTGAAATAAAAAAAAAACACAACAACAACAACAATCTTATATTAGATCTTCTGTTAAGAAAATCAATACGGATTTTTCTCTGAAAAGTACTTCACTTGCCTTTCACTGCTTTGTTTTGTGTGTTTTGCACTTCAACAATAAGAAAAAAAAAATCTGGTAAATATCATTTTCATCTCTGTATTGAGACAAATACTCCCTCGGTAATGGTTAAGATAAATAAGTATTAACAGATTGTTCGTTATCAAATATCCAAAAAATAAAAGATTATTTTTTACTATTGAATTTAATATATCAATATAATATAGATGTTAAAAAACTTTTAATTGAATAATATCTGTATCTTTCAGCGATAATTAGTTACGCTAGTATGAAAAAATCTTTATATTAAAAGTATCCCTTTTTATTTTGAATTTGAAATTAACTTAATCTTCTCATATTACATGATCTATGATACAATAACTATCAACATTGATTATTTACAATTTGAAAATATTATCGTTTTCTATATATATATATATATATATTTATTGTATATTTCTATTCTTTGTTCTCAAGTATTGATCCATGAAATTCAATTAGTTCGAACGAAGACTTCTACATTATTGTTATTATTCTTTTTTGTGTCGTAAAGGTCTTTTGAAGTATGTGTATATATATATATATATATATATATATATATGAAAATGTCATTGTGATTGTCTTATAAGCGAGAGGTGAATCTTATTAAAACAATAGTAAATATTTATAATTTTTTTTTTCGTCAATGCTCATCAATTAATTGAAAAGCATATGTATATTGATGTGTCTGACGTGCATATGCAAGTTAGATCAACATTTCTTCTTATTCTCATTATTACCAATTGTATAAACAATATATATATATATATTTTTTTTTTCATCTCTTTAGTATTTTTCTCGCTCCCCTCTCTTTTTGTCGTCGCTACTTGTCTTCATCCTTCGCATCATTGCTTTTCATTTCTTTGTTAATAAGAACTGTTCACTTCAAGTGTGTCACTCACTTCCTTTCTTTTTTTTTCGCTGTCTTTCACGCTACTGATCAAAAGCATAACGAAATTTTTTTTTTCATCATCTTTTTGATTGTCATATACATGCACATATAAAAATCATACGAGTAAAGGAGATGACACATGACAAATTTGTTGAAAATGGTAGGAGTATAACTACTAGTATCAGTAAAAAAATGCGTCATTTAAATAGTGAGAAAATGCATTTGGTATATCGACGACCGGTATGTATATGTGTTAAAATAAATAAAAATTCAATTTATTATTTTGAATATTTTCAATAATCTATTTATTTCTTCTAGGTTCGAACATTATTTGTATCTGGTTTACCAATGGATGCTAAACCACGAGAACTTTATCTTCTATTTCGAGGATTTAAAGTAAGTTTTCAATATTTAATATAGATATAGTGATGTATTATAGTCATTAGAGAATTGTTTATTGAATGATTAAATTGATAATTGAATACGACAAGTGTAACTTTGGTTTTTGTTTTTTTTTTTTTTGATATATAGGGTTATGAAGGAAGCCTACTTAAAGTAACAAATAAAAATGGTAAAAATTTATCACCTGTTGGATTTGTTACATTTGCTAATCGTGTTGATGCTGAAACGGCTAAACAAGAACTTACAGTAATATTTTCTAATACAAAAAAAAAGAAAGAGAAACTTGAATAATATATTATTAGGGAGTACGATTTGATCCTGATCTTCCAGCAACACTTCGACTTGAATTTGCTAAATCAAATACAAAAGTACAAAAACCTAAACATCCAACACAAAATCAATTAACAACTGCAACTCAACAATTTATTCAAATTCCTCGTAAATTATTTTCGATAGAAGATATTTTTTTAATTTAGATAAGATTATTTCTTTAGAAGAACTTGGTGCCGCTTTTTTTCCAACTGACACATGGGGTCAACCATTAGCTTTTGATTTAAGTTCAGCTGGTCTTCATCATCCTGCATTATTACATACAACTTTACATGGACCACCAATGGTAGGCGTTCTTTTTTTCTTTTTCTTCATCAATCTTGAATAACAACAACAAAACAAAGCAAAGCATTGTATTATTTAAGTTCTTGAGATCCTAGTGTCATATCTAGTGTAAGTATCGATATTAGCTAATCGATCACAACAACCACTACCACAAATTGTGTCAAATGGACACAACAATTGTTTTTTTTTTCTTCAAATCTATTTATATATGAACAGTAATATCTATTCATATACACTAATAAGAGCATCAAAAAATTATTTTTCACCCACTATCATGCGTGAAAAAGACATTGTCTTCGATTATAAGCTCGCGCATATATAAACTTACTCACAATATTGCTTGATACACTATTTTATGATATACAGATTTATGTTTTATATATATTTGATATAGTTTTATAGTTGATTTTCTTTTTTTTTATTTTGTTGTATAGGGTTTGGGTCATCCAATGTCAGGAACAACAGGTATGACTCAAATGCAACAATCAAATTCAGCTGTTGCTATTGGCAATGGACAATTAAATGGTGGATGTTCAACATTATTTTTAACGGGAATTCCTGAACATGATTTTAAAAATATGTCATTTGCTTTGTAAGTTTTCTAATTATAAAAATAATTAAATAGGAAAAAAAAAAAAGAACGTAATTTTTTTTTAAGGCCAGGCAAAGCTCTTTGACAATCAACATGTGATTTACATGATGATTCTTCATTAATAAATGATAAACAAAAAGTTCTTTCTACTCTTAATAATCAACAACAAATATTATTAAAACGATCCATCGATGAATATATGGATAAAGATAATCACATAAAACGTCTACGACAGTGATAATATGGAATCTCATGTTGAATCACAAACGTTGTCCTTCTTTCCTTCTTCTTCTTTTTTTTTCTTGTATAGTGTATGTAAGGCAACATTTATTGGTATATGTATTTTGTTTTTTTTTTTCTTATTTCTCCGTCCATTTGTGAGCTGCATTTTTTTCTTTTTTTTTGTTGAGACCTTTTTGTTTGATTTTGTAAAAGAAACAAAGAGAGAATATGAAAGAAAACGAAAGATGTTTTTATATCATTGAATGTGTAGATGATGTAGAAAAACATTGTGATGTTAATATAGTTGGACGATTTGTTGGTTTATAAAAATAAGTTATATAAGGATTTTGTCTTTCATCATATATTGATAATTCATCAAGATTTACTTCTGTATTAGGTTGTATAAGATTATTAATATGATTTGTAAATGACATTACATTATCTGTTACTGTATTAGTTATAGGAGAACCTTGATTTATTATTGATAAAGGATTTTTTGTAAAACGTCGAAAATATTTTCGAATTATTAATTTACGTATAGACCATGGCATTTGTTCATGTGTTTTAGATTGATTAGCAAGACCTTTCCATCGTTCAAGTGTTTGTTGATCAAATGATGAACGACGTCGAAGTTTTAATGGTTGTTTATTATTTGATAATTGTGTAGTTATTTGTCGAGTATATGAACGACTACGATAATAGGATTTTTCTTTTCCCGATGGAAATAATGATTCATTTGCTAAATGATGATCACCTTTTATACTTGCTAATCGTTTTTCAATATTACGAATACGAGCTGTTTCAGCATTTAATTTATCTTTTGTATGCTTTTTTGTACCCAAATAAATCTCCCAAAGTCGAGCTCGATTTTTTTTATCGATTAATTCTTCTAAATAGTTTAAAAAAAAAAATTTCATTTTTATTAAGATATAATGTTAATTTTTTCAAAGATTGTTATAGTTCATTAACTCTGATGTATTGAAATTGTAATGGTACTCATAATTTTTATTTTCGAGACCCTTCTAAGATCAATTAAAGTTTGTTTTTTTTGCTTCATACGGATAAGGAAAGCAAATATTATTATTACACGAGGATTATGGTTGATATTATGAAAGGAATTTTATTTATTTATCAATTAAGAAAAATATATGTTTAGTGTTTTATAGTTAATTTTCATTTATTATCTAAGGGAGTAATAAAAAGAAATCAAAACGAACTACATAGAACAATGTTTGTTACAAACAATTTGATCCTCAATGAGCTACAATTGTGCATTTTACTTATATGGGACATGAATTTCAGTATTTAAACTGATTAGTTTTGAAAAATTGCTCTATAAGCATTAATTTGCTATTATTCATAAAGTTTGTTTTGACTTCTTCTTGTTCCCTTACGAGAGAAGTCCTTTCAACTGTTTAATTGCTTTCGATTCGAGATTATTATAGATATAAATGAGCTATGAATACTCTGAAATGACTGCTTGCATTTAATTTATTGCTACGAAGATACTGCACTTTTATAGTATTGTTTTAATAAATGCTGTGGTAACAGAAAAAATTAATTTTCAGATTTCGACTTCAACGCTTTGCATATAGACAGGCCTTAACAAGATAGTTTATCGTGAAAGTTTCAAGTCTTTTGGTTTGCTGCTATCATGAAATAAGAACATCAAATCTGCTGGTTTGTATGTGTGATGTAAAAGACATGCTATTACGATAGTTCTATCTTACGATACGAGCAGTAACAAGATCTGAAAACATTCACAGAAAACTACACCTGTATCTATGCGAAGTGTCAAGTCGAAATTCGAAAATCAGTTTTTCTGTTATCATAGCATTTATTTAAAAAATACCGTAAAAACGTAGTATCCTCATAGCAATAGATTAAGAACAAGAATTCTTTTCAGAGTATTTATAGCTCATATGAATCTACATAATGCACATAGCCTCAACTCAAAAGCAATTGAACAGTTGGAAGACTTTCCTCATTAGACGTTTAGAGAAAATGATCTAGGAAATGCTTCATTCCGAGTTAATGATTTCAACGTCCAGATCTGTAAATTTCGGGCAGGTTCTCATAAGAAAGACATTGTTTCCGGTCAGAAAAATGATAGAAACTCGAAAACACGAAACCGATGATTGGATTCGGTGGCTAAATTTTTCTAGTTCCAATTGCAACTGGACAAAGCCGATCACCGGATTCTTGCTTCCAAATTTTTAATATAAAAAAATTAGCGTATCAATTAATTTAAAAGTCTATAAGAATATATGAAATTTCTAATTATTATATATTTCAAAAACTTAAAAAAAAAAACAAGATAAATATAAATCTAATAGATTTACCTAATATTTCTTTAGTATTTGTATGATCTCGTAAATTTCGAATAACTAATTTCGTTCGACGTCTTGCCGATTCTTCAATTATTTCAGAACGTGCTTTCATTTGCATTCCTAACATAAATATAATACCAACTGAATACCAAAGAAGAACAACTATAATATAGGTCATAGCACCACTATAATCATAATTACTTCCTATTGTTTCATCTTTTGTAGTATTATTTTGAATCATTCTTAAATTTCAAATAAAAAAAAAAATATTTTGTTTACGTACAAAATATGAGTCAAAAACTGATCAAGGACACATCTACATATCTGTACTTTCTGTTTTTTTTTTGTATGAAATGATAAATGAAAAATGTTTATTTAAAACAAGATACAAGTGTATTATATTTACATATGTATTAAAGAAATTTTTTTTCTTGATCATTTCAATATGATTTAGAAAATAAAAATCGAACGCATATGATTAATGGCAACATCACCTTTTATTTTTTTACTTTATATATATATATATGAAACAGAGAATGAAAATAACCATTAACAAGCGAAATGATATGCTCTATGTGAGAAAAAATGGCATACGACAATAAAAAAAAAAACCAAAACAAATCGAGATATCGATCGAGGTTAATCATAAAAATATGTTTTCTTTATATTGAAAATATTTCAAAACAATAGATACGAAATACAATTTTAAGTTGTTCTAGTTGTAAAATGAGTTTATGATGGACGACGGACAAAAGAATTTAAATCGATCTGTTCAATTACATGAAAAGTACATATATTCTATCAGTTAGAAGACAAAACTATCGATTATTTTCTATGATTATTCAATGAGAAATAAAAGTACAGACTGTGTAAACATGTTTTTTTTTAGAGAGTAGAGTGCTTACTTGCAAATGAAATATAGTATACATTTTATACTAGAAGCTCTTAGAAAAGGGGATTTATTGACATGAATTGATATGCATTATGATGAACCTTCCTTGATTAATTCTGAAAATTTCTTGAATTTTATGAATCTCAGAATTCATTAAATGTTCTTTTTCAAGGTGAACTTCATTTTATTATCAGTTCGAACAGAAAAAAGGGTATGACAGTTGCAAATTAGTTGACAATATGCAAAGCAATCAAGAAACAATTTCGTTTTAGTGCTTATTCATATTCTTTGTATGTCAACATCTATGATGGTATGATAATGAGAACAACATTCTTGTAATTTTTCATCTCTTCTTTTTTGTTTTTACCACAACATCTATCTTTCGTCGCCGTCTTTTAATCAAGATCTTGATAATTATCATTTTCTATTAGATTTCACATATTCTTTTTCTTTCCAATCAGTTCCTTCTGGTTTATTATAATATATAAATTATGCATAATTCTATTCATTTCCAGAAATCAGAAGAGATTCTTATTGATTCATATTAATAGATTTCATTTTTTGACGAAATTTTATTTTGATATTAAATTTATTCTAAATTCTATTTGCATATAGAATCTTTTTGACTTCGAAATTTTTTTTAGGCTAGCATATATACTTCTTTTTGTGTTACTTGTTAAGAAGAATGTCTCTCTGATGTTTTTTTTTCTTGAAAATTACCTATGAATCTATAAAGTAGTGCATTTTTGTTCATTATTTAAGAGAGACTTCGCCAAGTCATTCCGTTACCGGTAATAATATGTAGTACATGACAATAGAGCATTATGATGATTAGCAAATAGCTTTGTAGAAATTTTAAAGGACTACATAATACAGTATTTGATATGACATTTTGACCAAGTAACAATGGCTGTGAAGATTACCTTATGAGAGGTTCATTTTGAAATACATACGAACTGATAGATTTCCACGAGATCTATCAA